GAGAGAGAGAGAGAGAGAGAGAGAGAGAGAGAGAGAGAGGCATTCATTTAGGGAATTAACTTGTGCTGTTCTGAAGGCTGTCAGTTCTGTTATTGGCAGGGTAGGCCAATATTTCGGCAAGAGTTGATACATTTCCAGTTCAGCTTACCAGCAGACTTCTCTGTCTTTTGAGATGTCAGTCATTTTCTATGGAGTTGTTTAACTTGTTTGATGAGATCTACTCAGTTTCAGTAATCTGTTTCAATGAAAGGCTACAAATTTAAATGTTCAGTTTTAATTTTCATCTAAAAGCACATTCACAGAAACATCTTGAATAGTGCTTGCTCAAATTTCTAGGTACTATGGACTATCCAAGTTTACAGGATACAGTTAGCCCTTGCAATCCCAAATGATTCCTGCCTTCCTAAATTCATGACTTTCATAGCTTACTTTAAGATTAAATCTAAACTATTTCTGTGACTTTATTGACTGATATATTGTAGAAGTGACCATGAATAAGTTTTGGTCCTACATTTTGATTTGAGAGGTCTTATTTTCTACTGCTCTTGACCTAAGTCCCAGCCTCCATGTGAAGAAACAAGTCTACTCTGTTGGGGAGCCTTCAAGAAGAAAGAGCCTCAGAGGAAGGAAAACCTTGGGGTCTTCCCAGTCATCTTAGTTGAAATTCTAGGTACAGAAATCCAAAATGGGTCCTCCAGTCCTAGACAAGTGTCCAGGTAACTCAGATAAATAAAAATGTGGAATAATGTGATCCTTGCTGAAACCTGCCCAGTAAATGGTATCTGTGTTTAAATTGCTAAATTGTGAGACTGTTATGCAATGATAGGTAACCAATACTTATGACAAGAATTTTGTTAAAATATACTACATAAAAAGATTTAGGGTCCACAATATTTTCTTAATATGTATAGTATCACTGCTTTACACAGCACATTGTAAGCAACTTGTTTTTCTCAGGTCAGCATACAAGTTCTTATTACTTTCAGAAGAATTAAGGTTTACATTGATGTTATGGCTTATATCTAGATGTTCCCCCAAAGCTTCATGTGATCATAGGTGGGGACTTTTGGAGGTGGCTGGGTCTAGATCGTGTGGCACTGAGATCAAGGGTGTGATGCTGGGATTTATCACAGTTTAATGCTAGTATTAAGGCTGTCCCACGTGAGTGTGAGTGCTATCTGCACTAAAGATGGAGAGCTGGGTAGGATATAAGGGAAGGAAAGAGGGTCATCTCTTGTTGCTTGCAATCTTTGCTTCTTTCCTGCTTTGCTGAATTCTGATCACTATGAACTGTTCTTCCTCTGTTATGTCCTCTAGCATGCCACTAAGACAACAGGGCTATTTTTACTGTAGCTCTTGCTTAGTCACTATAAATCCTAAGTTTGTCTTTCATATGAATTAGACTTCCTAGAAGGAAACGAAGAAGAGCAAACTATTTTCTAAAGTACTCTTTTCAACCTGATCATTTCTTTGAGCGTTCAGTCTTTCTATTACACCTTTGCTGACCAGCTTCGTTTTGGGGGAAGTAAAAAGAAAGAAGTAAACAGGCACAAAGAAAAAAGGAACAAATCAGAGGAGATGAACAAGATATAGAAAGTGCACTTAAAGTTGTAAAAGAATTTGAAAGACACTTTTCTTTCATTTTCTGTAGCATGGAGTGGATCATTGATTGGTAGCTACATGAATTAGATAGATTCCAGTGTCTTCTGGGAGATCATATTGTAGTTTTATAAAAAACTTCCACTAGTGTTGAGTCACATTTTATAAAATTTCCCTGCATGAAGTAATTATGTACAACTGGCACTGAGGAGATAAAGCACCCGAAGAAAAAAGGGCTATTGACCTAAAAGAACTTTTTCTAATCTCTTTTTTCCTGGTCATTCCTTGAATATCAGGTAGAAACAGAGGAGTGTAGGGTTGTATAAATACAGGAACAAGAGTATTTAAATATTTATCAATTAGCAAAGACTCATGCTCAAGAGTGTTACCGTTGAAGTGGTAAGAAATGTGACCAGGAATTATCCAGTAGAGGAATTCAGAGGCTTATTCTATGATGTTAAAAGTGAAGAAGCTGAACTTAGTTTTTGTTGTTGCCATCAGAATTATGGTAAGCAGGTTTCTGTTTTCTTAACTCTCCATTGACGTCAGAATGGAAGTGCTAGGGAGATTTCAGAGATTCTTCAAACTCTGACATACAAACTCATTTAATGTCTTGGGAGATAAATAAATAAAATAAAGCAAGAAGAGTAGTTTCACAGATCAGAAATACAGGCTTATTGCATGTTTTGTAATCTTAAAGGTAATAAGAATTCTCACAGACACTGAAATGTCTTATTAAAGACAAAGGCCATTTTATTTACTTGTGAGAGCATCAATCTCTTGATTTATTTCTTTTGAGAGAATTATCGCAGAACAATAGTTTCTAAACTATAGCAGGCATCAAATCACTTGTCGAACATAGATTTCTATGTAGAACGTATATTTCTGAGACCCAATCTCAGAGTATTAGATTCGATAGGATTTATATTTTATGTACTGAATTATAATCTGTTTCCAGTATTATTTATAACATTGATTATATATTAAATTAATTTATCATGTTATTTATTAGAAACTTTTTTTTAGTTTTGATGCTTTAAGTATACTTTATGTGATGATGATAAGTCACTTCAAGCTGTATTCTCTGTCCAAATGTTTTGTATTCATCCTATCTCTTTATATATAATATATTCATGGCTCATCTTGGGCTTTCTCTTTTGCTTTTGGGGCATTAGTTATTTTTTCCAAGAAAGGAAAAGTAAAGTAAGATCTGGAGTCTAGGTTTTCTTATAGTAAGTAAGATATCACTAGTTTGAGGCCCTAAGAAAAGCCAGAGCTAGAGAATATGTTTGTGTATGCAAATTGTGGTATATACTATAAACATGCTCAAATATACAGTTATGTGGATACAATTTACTTTTGAGTCTGTACTTATTTCTATATTTTTATATGTGTTCGTATGTGTTGGTTATCTATTGAAATATCTGTACTATAGATACACAAAAATTGATTAAAATATATAGGGGAAATTGTAAGTTTCTGATATATTTTCAATTCTATCCCAACACTATAGATTGCTTTAGGCACTGAGACAACCTTTTAGTTAAAGAATTGGAAATAAGAAGTAAATCGATCCCTTCCTTTAAAGAGTGTGACTTTATTAGAGTCATGACAGTTTTGTTTTCTTTTGGAAAAGAAGTTCCTGATGTTATTCCTGCCTTTATCTGACAACCACCTTCCCTGAACGATATTGCTTCCTTGAGAATTAACAGCATGTGACTTTTCTTAATTCATATTTTTCACTTTCTGTTTTGAGATTTTCAAGGAATTCAAGTTTTTTCCTTTTCCATATTCAAAATTTCTTTCATCTAAAGTGAGAAATTTACCTCTCAACATTCTTATGTGCTGACCAATTGTCTGTTATCCTGTATGGAATCTGTTCTGAAGTTTACTCCACACCCTTACAAAATTCTTCCTGCCATGCTCGAATATTTCATGTAAGTTCAGCTTTCCTCAGCTCACAGATGCACTGTTCATCCTGCTTGGGATTTGATAGCTCATACTAGGCTTCTCTTTGTAAATGCCTTCTTTACCACACTTGGTGTCTGACACTCACTCAAAGCCATTGTCTCTCTTCACCCCAGTCACAGGCACTTCAGATATTTGCCTTTACTTCCTCTTCCTCAACTGACTATATTGGCCAAGAAGAGGAAGCCTCAACTAGGTTAAAATATGAAGCAGGAAGGCCAAGTTTATCATGTGGTCCCATCCATATCTTGTAATAATCCTGACACACTGAAATCACTTAATCACTGTGTGTTTGATATACTAAGGAAGCGTCCAGAACGTCTGTATCATCCACTAGACATGGAACTCTGAGAACCTGATTCATTCTTTCCTTCTTTTGATGATGTGGAGGGGACAGGGATAAACATGAGGTCCTGGACAAAAGAGTCAGAGCTGCAGCTGCAAAGAGACATCACCTTGTGGGAAAACAGTATTATTTTCCCTCTGCTGCTATAACAAAACACTAGGAAATGAACTGTTTGAATTATAGAATTTATTATCTCCAAGCTCTGTACAAGTCTAAAATCAAGATATTGGCTGGGCCAGGCGTGGTGACACATGTTGGAAATCCCAGCACTCAGGAGGAGGGAGGGAGGAAGGCATCCATGAGTTTGAGGCCAGCCTGGGCTAGAGAGTGAGTTCAAAGCCAGCCTGAACTGCATAGTGAGACCCTGTCAGCTAAACTGATTTCTTCTTCGGATTCTTTGGGGAGGTCTTGCTCCAAGTTTTTCTCTGTGGCTTATAGATGGTTGTCTTCTGCCTGGGCTGCTTCATGTCATCTTCCCTCTATGCATATCTGTTTCAAATGTTTTCTTCTTGTAAGGATACCAACCATACTGATTTAAGACATTCTAATGAGCTCCTTTTAACTCAATTATTTCTATAACAAATTTATCTCCAAATAAGGTCACATTGTGAATTATTGGAGGTAAGAACTCCAAAGTGCAAATTTTGGTGGGAACAAAATTCAGCTTATAATATATAGGTTTTATTACCAGATTCTAGTGCTTGTTAAAACTCACTTTGAACCAATATGCCCACCCACAAATTGCAATCCTCAAAATATAGTCCTTAAAGGAATGCAAGCACTGGGAACCACTGGCGTTTAGCCTCTCACTAGCAACACACTTCATTTCCCCTGTGTTTGCATAGCCCCAAATACCTGCTGCTCTGCCTCTGCTGGACAGTCCTGAAATAAATGTACAAGAAGCTTAGCTGCAGGTGAATACCAGGATCTACTGCCTTCCTGACTTTCTCTCTGGTTCCTTTGTTTTGTTCCCTTTGTTCATTCTCTTCTTGTCCAGATATTCACCCTTTGACCCTCTTTGCTAGTTCCTCCCTATTTTTTATTGCCCTGACTTACTTCATTTTCCTTTAATGTCAATCTTTTTTTTTTTTCAGATTCTCTTTAGGTGAAGGATGAGAACACTGTAATCAGAATCTGCGCCTGTTACTAGGTGATTTGAACTGCGTTCTGTTGGATTAACCTCAAAACTTCTGAAACGCAAGGATACCTGCCTGATACATCACTGAAAGGGGAGATTTTTTTTGTTTTAAAACAGAATTTGATTAAATTTCTTGGCTAAGAAGAAGCAAAGCTAGCTGCGTTTCACCAAGGAGTGGATTTGTGATTTGGCTTCACCATGGCTGTCTGCAGCACCTGTAACATCAGAGTGCTGGTGGTGATTGTGTGTGGGCTGCTGACGGTCATCATTTCGGGATTAACCATCTGGAGGACAGTGGTAAAGATCCGAGGAGGTAATGTGACTCTGTTACATTTAACTCAGAGAGACAGAAGGCATTGTACCTCTGTCCTTGATACCTGACATATCAGAGTGAAAAGTACTCTGTCTTTGCTGAGGCTGTCTACTAGGAGACCATCTATAAAATATAAGGGTAAATTGCTGGTTAAAAGGTGGCTATATGTATTATACAAATCTGTATGTATACATATGTGAATGTGAATAGGCAGAATGAACTTGCTTCTTGTTAATTTGTAACTCTTAACCACACTGACAGTGAACAATAATCATTCATAATTAAAATTATTCATAACATATTTAGGCATGTTTAGCTAAAAAATCTAAGAAAAGAAGTTATGGGCACCATTAACCTTTGAAAACTAGAATTTCATTTCATGAAGGAAGTTCAGAATTACGTCACTAGACAATATTATTACTAAGTAAAATGATCATTTGGTTTGCATGCAAAATTCCCACTTTTCTACTCAAAAATTAATATAATTTTTAAAACTTGCTTTTCTGATTACTCAACATGCATTTGTAAGTTCCCTGATATGTTCCAGAGCAGATGTGAAAAGGTGGGGGAAACAGTAGTGTTGATATTAAAGGAAAGTCCTAGGGAGTGTAAATAGAGGAAATAAAACCAGTAATAATCCGAATGCTGGTTTCTAGGGACAGTGGAGGTTCTCCATAAAGGCATTCGGTGTTGAGTGGGTGGAACACTCCTTTTTGAAAAAAAAAAAACACATAGAACATTTCTAATGAAACAGTGTAGGGGAAACTAATGTCAGTCAAAAAAGGCAACTAGGCTCACAGTCTGTCCTCTGAGCAAATAACTGCTATTGGTACACAGTGCATGGCTGAAAAAACCCGCTCATAGGGCAAAAGACATGAAATACACGGGCTGCTGACCCCAGAGAATACTATTGAAGAATACTATAATTAATAACATTTGGAAAACTACAATAAGAAATTATCAGAACAAAAACAATACAATTTAGACATGGGAAAAATATACCTTTGTTTGTTCATGCTTTGTAAAATAGTTTAATTCAGGACTTCAAAAACTAGGAACTTGGGATTTTTCTCTCTTCTAGGCTTGCTAAATTTATAAGACTTTATAGGACTTAAAGTGTATGTATTTGAGAAACCTTCTCTTCCTTATTACTTTTATGTACATGACATCTGCTTTTCAAGGGAAATGTGTGGTGGCTTTATTATTATACAACCATTAAAACAAGGAACAAAGTACAAAAACAACGTAAGGATATGGGCAGACTGGAGCATAGAAAATATGTAAAAATAAAAGGCTCAGTGGGAGTTACTGAAGATAAAAAGTTCATCTGTTTGAGCTTAAGGGCTAAGACTAAAGAATAAATAGGAAATGTTACATTTTGCAGAATAGAAGCATACTGGTTCCTCTGAAAAGACGAACTTTTCTCTTGCGCTGAAATGTTCAACTGGTTGTTTATATAAGGATATCTTCTAACTTTTGGGTAAATCTAGTAGAAAAAGAGAGTTATCACTATCATTTACAGAAACAATTACAAGACTGTTAATTGGCTGTTATTATTTGCCAAGTACAATTTTATTCAATATGTGTTTTAGTTAGTAAATTCTTCCCAGTCCACTTCACTCCTCACTGACTTCTTATAATCTTCTCTTCTTTCTAGTCCACCCCATCCCGTCCCCTCCATCACATTTCATTAAATTACTGAGTGTTCTTGTTTTGGCCCTATTAAATGGGTATAGAAAAAATTGCTTATAAATTTATCTTTTTATGGGGAGAAAAGCATGAGTATCTGTCAGAAACTGATGAAAACAATGTTATTCAGAAAAAAATAGGCAAATCAGAAGCAAAACAAGATAACTGACACAGATTTCAAAGCAAAACAACAGGAGAACTATGTAGCTACCATAATGTATTTTGTTTTCTTCTGAATAGTTGTCTATATCTTCGCACACAATGAATTCATACAAAAAAATAGTATTAAACTGATCAGAACAGAGTAGTGAAGGCATTACAGGCCTTCAAAACCAGACAATATGAAAATTAACAATGGCTGCCATAATGTCTCTTGTTCTCTTCAAAATAGCTGTCCATACCTTCATGTATGCTGAAATTGAACAGTACAAAACAGACTAAAACCATTCTGAACAAAGAGTAGAAGCATTACTGGATTTCACAGCATGACAATATGGAATCAGCAATGGATACCATGATGTCTGTTTTTATTCAAAGTAGCCGTTCATTTCATCACACATAATATGATCGATTCTCATAAACTGTTGAGGAGATATTCCAGGCATGTATAAGCCTCTCTACTTATACATATAAATTTTACTTAATTTCATTCCATTTTAAACTTATTTCATCAACACAACCAGAAGGCAGATGTTAAATCTCCCATTTTCTTTTTTCTTGGAAAAATGATGGCCTCTTTGGGAAAGACAGAAAAAATTTATATTTTCTAAGTAAATTTCAATACATTCTAATTATTTAACTACAGGCCAAGTATGAATATTACAAAATATGTGCTGTTTAGGGCTGCAATTTTTGTAAGACATACAATTTTAAAATTTTCTATATGTTCTAGATACTATACTAAAGCATCACATATCTTATTTCATTTACTCTCATTTAACCTTGAAAGCAGATATCAACTCAAGGTTTAGAAGGCATTTTTATGTTTAATAGCTAAAAAATATTAGGTCTGGACTTGAACCTTGATCATTCTGATTTTATTATCTGTGGTCTTAAGTCTCACACTATTTTGCCTTCCCCTAGAGGGAAGATAATGATAATCTATTATGAATTCATCTTTTTTTTAAAAGTAGCAATAGCTGCAAATCCTACTTCACAAAGATATTCAGAAAATAATGAAATCAGAGCAATATTTTGTTCTGTCACAGGCTCTTTAAGAAGACATATTATCTTTAAGTAAATAATCTATAATATTAACACAGTTTATAATATATAATTTAGTGAGTATGCTTTGAGTTTTGAGACTTCTTAGCTTTTCCATGGTGTTGATAGATTTTTGTTTGTGGAGTAACTGCCATAGCTTTGTCATTTTCTACTAAACTGTATAAAGTTTTCTCCAGCTTTTCAAAGGGATAGGCCATCTGTTTTAATCTCCTAGTTTAAAACACCAAAAAAGAAATCTCTAGAATGTCAGCGATCTTCTATCTAGTATAGACTTTTTCTATCCCTCTTTCCTCATTAGACCTTGTGTTACAAGGTCACAGTCTAAGGCCTTGGTATTAACAGTATTTCATGAGAGACACTGTCCGTTCAGGGTCGCTGACATCGTCTGTCATTTTCACATACCACTGAGAAAAACATTAAATATATTGAGCTTTCTCACCAAAGTACCACAGTGATATATTACCAAATATATGATGCTAGGCACAATATTTTCTATCCACTGGACCCTCAGACCATAACTTAAGTGAAATAAATAAGACACACACATAAACATCACATTGTCTCACTTGTGTGAGAAACAATGTATAAGTAAGAACCAAACTGTACAAGAGATATGGTGAAATGGGAAGATATAGGGAGGGTGGATAGAGAAAGGAAGGAGGGGAAAGAAAATGAGAAAAAAGATAAAATGGAAATGATGAAATGAGGAGTGGGGTTGAAGGGAGAGGACAAGAATGGGAGGGGAAAAAAGACAAATCAAAATATATTAGGCACAGGTAAAAATTCCCGATGATGAATGTGGCTGTTGTATACACCTGAACTGTACCAGTAAACAATTGAATTAAAAAAGACTTCCTATCCATTTAAAGTTTTGTTTGGCAAAGAAAAAATTTAAAGCTATTGATGAATTTTTGCAATTTCCAAAAGAAAGTCAAGGGAAACTTTTCTAAGATGTCAGTTTATGTGAGCATTCAGGATTTCCACATGAATGTCTGTCTCATTCTCTGATGACAAAGTTCTAATGTTTAAAGTCATCTTCTAAACACCCACATGAGTATCCAGGAGTTTCACATGAATGTTTCATTCTTTGATGACAAAATTCTTATGTTTAAAGTCATCTTCTTAGTGGAAATGTATCCTATCTTGTCTAAATGATCTTGTATCTATTCTTTATTACATTTAGTTTTGTTATTTTTTTTACTGCTGCTACTGAAATTTTTGTTTTACTATTTGTTTTCTCCCTACTTCTAGATAGATAGAGACATCCAAGTGTACAGGGCTTGACTGATTAACCTGTGTTTCCTATAACTAGAATAGGACTTATATTACAGTTGCCAAAACAGTCATTGATTAAATGAATGAATCATGAAAACCAGATATTGAACTTAGTCTTTTTAGGCTAGTATAATAACAGAAACTTATTTCTTTGGACCTTCTGAACAACACATATTTCTTTTTCAAGTTCTAAAGGCTGGGAGGCCTGAGATCAAGTCAGTGGCAGATCCAGTGTTGGCTAAACTGATGCAGAGAATGTGTCTTCTTGCAACATCTTTAAATAGTAAAGAGGAAGAATTCTGACCCCCACACATAAAGGGTACAAATTCCACTCACGAAGAATCTGGCATCGTGAACTAACCTTTTTATAGACCCACTTTCTAATCCCTTCACATTGGGAATTAGATTCCAACAGATCCTCAGATAAACACTGAGGATACCCAAATGTCCAGCCCATAGCATGAACAAAGAATTATCAAACAACTTTACTGAAAAATGGAATAGAATAGCTAATAAATTCTTGTGATTTACTTCAAGACAATAAAATAAATGAAATTTTGCTTTTTTAATTAGAGAGATCATTTCCATTTTCTTCCTGTGCTCTAAACTATGCAATGCATGAGCATATATGGAGGGCTCTTGACTAAAGTAGATTCTCTGCTTTTTTGTGGCCTCTTTCATTGAATCTGAGCTCCACAATCTTGAAGGGTGCTTTTGTGTTGGAGCAAATCTATATTTTGTCAGACCTGCATCCTTTACACATTGGACATTCTTTATAGAAAAACATCCACATTGTTTGATGTGTTTATAGAATAAAAAAACAAAACAAAACACGCGAGGTACTCTGCTTTGCTGCCTTCATGCTTCAAACAACAAGGGTTTGCAACACCAAAAGCAGTTTGGCTTTGGGTCCCATCACATAAGATAAAGAAAGTGAAACGCAAACCATTAAGCTTTCTTATATGTCTTTTCTTTGACATTTTCCATCTTGAGCCAGGCCTAATGTAAACATAGACAGATGATCAAAATCTTACTGGTTGGGGATATTTTCCCTAGCTTCCATTAACAGGAGCACATATAAACCTCAAAACATATTCAGAGTACTGTGATTCCTTATTTAACCATACTCTCTTTTTTTCCTGGTTCAGAACTTTTTCTGCTGTCATCCATCTGTTTGTCCTACCCCTCTCCAGATATTGTAGCCTTCCATGATCTACCTACTCATAATCTAATGAAAGACTTCAGCAGGCTGAAACAGTCCCAAGCCCCTAGGTCATATCATAGTAATTCTAGTGCAGTAAGAAATGTGCGTTATCAGGAAAGGACAAGGAGAGTAAATTGTTTCTCAGAAAGTAACCTGCACACAGACATTTGGATTTAAGTTTTATCAATTTCATATTTCCTCCTGAGACAAATTCATAGTAAATCTATGCCATTGCACTGTTTCTGGAGTACAGCTGAATTTAGATTTTAAAAAATCCAAACAAGTGGTTTCTGGATGGAGGAAACGGGGCTATCAGACAACTGTGGTATTCTTTGGTCTCAATCCTACTGTTAGTAATTTCTCTTTTGTTTCTTTACCATTCCTTTTCCTTGCTTCCTTATATATAAACTGCTAAATAAATAAATATACAATAGTTTTGGCTGGGATATAGAGTGCTTATGTAGCATGCACAAAGCCTTGGGTTTTATCCCAGCACCAAAATAAACTAAACTAAATTAGATTAGACTAGACTACACAACTAAATTAAACTACAATGATTTTCATGAGTGGGAAATAATTCTTTTTTGAAGAATAACTTTGTTCTGTAACACACCGAGGAGCATATATTACCTTAGCATTAGAATTAGTGATATTTAGTGTATAACCTGTTTTAAAATTCATTGTCTTAAACTAAGAGATGAGAAAATGGATTAGTGGATTATTCTAAAATCTCCAGATAGTATTTTTTACCTAAAATTCTAATTAGTACAATTAACTATCTGTACTTCATGAATCATGCTGTCAGATATCTTTAGAGAATATAGTGGTACAGTATGTACTTAAGAGAAGTGGGGGGAAGCTTTGGAACCAGACTGGCTTGGTTTAAAGCCTGGTATTTCTGGTTGCTACTGACTAACTCTGAACAATTAGTCAACATTTCTGTGCCTCAGTAATAGTAAGTCTGACCTCATAGAGCTACTTGGATTAAATGAGTTAACGTATTTAAAGGTTGAAAATTATATCCAATTTATTGGATAAATAATACATATGGGACACTGTTCTTTGTATCCAATAAATATGGGCTACTATTCTTTGATTCATGTATTTTAGATCATTCAGTATTTTTTTTTTACCACTCTCTGCTTAAGCCTCGGGTACCATTAATCTACATTTGACCTTTGTATTGATGCTTGGTTTATTAAACCAAAAGTCCACAGTAGGTTCAATTATTAAGTTCAATTGATTAATTCAAAACAAACAGAAAGAGTTCTAAGAATGCTTAGATCTTGCTGCATTTGCTTTTCCGTTCTTATATAGGAGAACATCTATTAAAATATCTAGTTTGTTGAAATATTAGCCAGGAGCAGACTGAGCAATTTTTTCTTTAAATAAAGACTATACATGTGAACGTCTTTTGGTTTTTTTAAAAATGTATTTTGTTAGATATTGTTCTCTCATTTAAGAGTTATCTTCCATCCAACTATCTTAAATTCCTGGTCAGAATGCCTGGACTTTATACTCTAAAAGACTGAGACAGAAACTAGAAAGGATCTAAAGATGTGATTTCTTTGACTAAAGAAAGATGATTTTATTTCTTTACTTACTTGAACTGCATTTTTCAAAAGAAACTTGTAACTGTGTCTAGAAGAATAAATTCATATTTTCCATTTGGAATCTTTAAGATTATTTTCTGCTACCTTCTCAAGCAATAGTAAATGTGTGTGCCATATATATTCAGCATTGTGTACTAAAAGTATTGAATCTAGAATATTTTTGGAAATATTAAAATCTAAAATGGTGTCTACAACTATCATTGTTTCACTATTACAAGAGAATATCATTAAAGATGTTCAGTGTATGGGTTTCCAAACAAAATTGAGTTAATGCTCATTTTGTTTGTGGTAAAGACCAGGACTATGAGGAAGGTGTAGCAGCACCAAATCAGTAGCAAGTAGGTTTGATTCCAGCACCTCGCTGGCTACCTATTAATTCCTACTTTGGCAAAAATCACCTAGCCTTATGTGAAGTGAGGATTTGTGTTCAATCCCTGGTATAAAAAAAGTTATTTTAGTATTTAGATCTCTATTCATTTCAACTTCAGTTAAGTACGTGGTGAGACACATGGGTCTAGTTTTAGTCTTTGGCATGTGGAAAGCCAGTTTTTCTGGCACCATTTATTAAAGAGACTGTCTTTCTTCCCATGAACATGTTTGGTTCCTTTGTCAAATATTAAAGTGACTGAGTGTGTTTGGAGCTGTGTCTCCATCTTCTATTCTGTTCCAGTGATCCTCAGCTCTGCTTTTTTTCCAGTACCATCCTGATTTTATCACAGTAGCTTTGTAGTATAATTTCAAGTCTGAGATTGTGATACCCCTGACTTGTCTTTGTTGCCTAGAATTACTGTTGCTATTCTAGGTCTTTGGTGGTTCCAAATAAATTTTAGGAGTGATTTCTCTAAATCCATGAAGTATGCTAATAGTATGGCCACTATCAAAAAGTCAACCAATAACAAATATTGGAGAGGTTATGAAAAAAAAGGAACACTTCTTCACAGTTGGTGCAACCACTGTGGATATAAGTGTAGAGATTCCTTAAAAAATTAGGATTAGAGGTCCCATTCTGCCATGTCCAACACAACTCTCAAAGTTCCCAGGGGAAAAGATGGAGAAATAAAAATGAGAATTCAGAACTCTGAGGTCAGGTGGAACCTTTTCTGGATGGGAAGAAAGGAACTGCTCAACTACTGCAGCATATTTACTTATACATTCAGCAGGTTTACACCATGTGACATTTCTTTGCCTAGCAACCTGTTTGCATGACAGCCTTTGGGTTCCTCGTATTCTCCAAGCTGAAGCATCTTGTTCACATGTCTCACCTTGGGCACTGTTTGTTCTCAGAATTGGCCTTACTCTACCTCCAAATGTGTGATTGGTCTCCAGATTCAGATGCTCCTAACACCATTCCACCCAGCTATTCCCCTTCTGGGTATATTCCCAGAAGAATTAAAAACTGCATACCACAGTGATATATGTGCATCCATGTTTATAGCAGCACCATTTGTAATAGCTAAATCTTGGGAACAGCCAAAATGTCCACCAACTGAGGAATAGGGAAAAAAAGATGTATATAATACAATGTATATAATATAATTATATATAGATTATATAATAGAATACTCAGGTATAAAGAAGGATAAAGTTGAGGCTTTTATAAGTAAATGGATGCAACTTGAGAGCATACTCATAAGTGAAATAAATCAGATCCATCTGTGTGAACATTGTATTGTTTCAGTAGTATGAGAAACTCAATGAATAAATAAGAACTAAAATGTACAATAGGTATTGTGGATTGGGAAGAAACTATTTAAAAGAAAATACAAACTGCTATGGGGAAAGAGGTCAGGAAGAAAGGGAAAAAGAAAAAGTGCATACACAAGAGAGTTCAGATAGTTATACAGCTAGTTTCTCTTTAGATCATTGAAAAGAAAGGTTTGTGTTAATATTGTTTGGACAAGATATCATGCTTATCTCTTTTACTCTCAATAACTATTATGAAAACAACAATATTCAACATATTCATTGTTGTAATTGTCCTAGTAACCTGTTTTGAAATTGTTTCATTGTTACTTTTATCTTTTTTTCTCTTTAAAATAAAAAAATAAAGCTGAGAAATGTGAAATATAGATTAGGAAATTTGAAATATCTAAACAGGGATTATATATTCCAGAAAAGAATAAACAATATGGTGGAGCAATATTTGAGCAAATAAATACTGAGGATTTTCTTCGATTTTAGAATGACTGAATCCCAAGCAAGGAAGTGAAAACCGAATCACATCATTATACAATAGTAGAATATCAAATACACATTTATAAAACTATACTTTAAATTCCATAAAAAAGTAACTATTAGACCCAAAAACACTCACTAGAAGAAACAAGTTCTAGAAAACAGTGAACTATCTTCAAAATTCTGTCAATTCAGAATTCCATACTTTACCAAACTAATGAGAGTAAGGAAAAAGTAAAAATATTTCAGATGAACATTGGAAAATTGGTCACTTATAGAGTGTATCTGAAGATAATCATTAAATCACATATATCATGAATCAAGGAAGTTCAATCCAAAAAAAAATACAATACAGAGTGATGACAACAACAACACAGGAAGCTCTTTGCTATATGTAAACATGCATAGATTTTTTTCCCTGTGGTTTAAAAGGCTAAGATTAAAATACGAAACATAAGTAGATTAAACTCAATCATTGAAGGAAATATCCCCATGTTAGATCGTATGGAACAACAAAATGTGGCTGATACATTTAATGACATTTTTAAGTGAGAAAGAGAAATGATGATAAATCCCACTCCAGGCAAATACTAACCAAACCAAAATAAAACTAAGCAATAGTAATATCAGAAAACACACATTAAAGCTAAAAGTGTATTGAAGAGCAAGACTTTTACTATTCAATGATGTGAAATAACACAACTGAAAGGCCCCCTTATCTGACAACTGTATACATCAAATAATACAAGTTAAAGCACATTTAAAGTAAATCTGTATATATGCCAAATTTTACAAATAAATATGAAAATGCAAAGACAGTGTAGTTCCAATAACCTTCCATGAGATCAAGTAGAGAAAATTAAAAATCATAAATTTGATAAGCACATGGAGTGAATGTATATATTAGCATCACCACAATAAATTAAGAATGTATACAGTTTTCAGAAAAAGTTTCAGTAAATAATAAAGAACCAGTGTTCTATAGATTATGCTATGTGATGAAATTAAAAGATAAAGCATAAAATAACCAAGAAAATATCTTATTGTAGCTAAGTTGTTTCTTCAAAAAAGAAATCAAGTGAGAATTACCAAGTATTTAAACAGCAATGAGAACATATTACAGCTAAAAATATAGTTAGTATGACCCTTACAGGTTTAGGTATACATTAAGCTACATAGGTTGAAAATTGGTGATGTAAGCATCTAACTTTAGAAGTTAAACAAGCAAATTCTAAGCAACTATATTTAGCATAATAAAGAATATAAACAAATTAATGAAATAGAAATTAAGAAACAGAGTGAAGATCAACTAAAACAGTAACTTTTTTGAAAAGATGAATTTATGTAGAAATCTCTGGCTACATTCATCAAGACAAAAAGGCGTAACTAAGCAATATGCACAAAAAGAAAAGGGATATCATAAAACGAAGTAGAATTTAAACAAAACTATAAGTAAATACAATGGAAAACTTTATAATATAAAGGCTTAGGTCATATGAAAATTTTCTGAACAAATATAAATGACTGAAATTTATTCAAAAAATAAGGCAAAAATGAGTAAAACTATGAACACTAAAATAATTGAATTAATAGTTTTTAAAAAGATTGTATACAAATGCTAAACTTGGGTTATTTTTGATATGACAATAGTATAAAGTATGATGGGAAGATAAATAATAATAATATTAGGAAAACTGTTAATGACATTGCTATCTTGTGCATTTTCTTCTATCATGGATTGTGCCCTTGAAATTACACCTAAAAACTGGGATGGGAATGTCTGAGGTCACCTAGACTTTCTTCTGTTATCCTCTAGAAGTTTTATAATTTTACATTTTACATTAGGTCTACGACTCAGTTTGAGATAATTTTTCTTCGTGAAGATAGAAATCTGTTGTATGTGGATGTCTAGCAATATTTGTTGAAAAGTCTAACCTTTGTCCCCTGAAGTATACGTGCTCATTTGTCAAAGATCAGTTGGTTATACTTGTGTGAGCAAAAGTATACTTAATTATACTCTCTCTTCTTTTCCATTGATTTGTGAATAATGATAGCCATGAAATGGTATTTTTCAGTGGTTTCTCTGACAACTAAAATGATAAGCATTTTCATTTGCGTGCTTTCAATCCATAATGTGTTTCTTTGTGAAATGATGGTATCTGTTCACATCATTTGCTTATTTAAAAAGCATGATATTTGTATTCTTCATATTAATTATGTTCTTTAAATTATACAATTAGATTTATAATTCTAATTTACATTTCTAGATACAATTCTTTTGTCTGATACATGGGTGGAAAGTATTTTCTCTGTGGCTTTTGTTTTTATTTATTTATTTTTTTACTTTCTTATGCCTTTTGGTGAGCAGCAGTTTTTCAATACAATTTATAAAAGCTTATTTTTTGTTTAGGGCTTTTTATGCCTTAAAAAAAATCTTTGTCCCAAAGTTGAAAGAATGTTTTTCTTTCTATTCTCTTTGGCTAGATTCGTAGTTTCAGTTTTTGTTTTTAGGTCTGTTTCTCCTATAGTCCATCTTGAACTGAAGACAATATGTTTACTGAGTTTGCCCAACACTATTTGTGAAAAACTTGCCTTTTTCAGTTGAATTATCTTGGCAATATTTTTTTTAAATCAACTGATCCTATATGTTTTATCTATTTTAAACCTTTTATTCAATTGCACAGATATATTTGCTTATAAACACCTTAACAACTTTGGACCTTCAATCCATGTATGATATGTATCTCCTTTAGTATAAATATTAAAATTGCTCTCAATAGTGAGATCTGCTTATAACTAATATGTAGAAGTAAATTTGATTTTTATAACATACAATCTTGCTAAATTCACTTATTAATTCTAGTAACGTTTTGAGATCCCTAGGAATTTTCCATATATCTAATGATTGACAACAAAAGATAGCTCTATTTTTTTCTTAGCTCTCAGCACTTATTTTCCCTGCTTTTTGAACTGGTTGACATCTCCAATGCAATGTAGGTGAATCTCACATTATATTGAAAAGAAGTTAAGCCACTGAAGATATGCTCTTGAAAGAGATAATGGGACCCCCTACATTTTCCTTTCTCTTTTTGTTTCCTGAGTGCCATGAGTGAGTCTGGGCCAAGCTGTTTACTGTGAACTTTGAAATCATGAGCCAAAATAAACCTTCCCTCATTAGAAAGTGATTATTTTAGGTATTTTGCCACAGAGATAGAAAGCTGACACAAAAAGATTTAGGGAGTCTTTCCTTTTATCTATTTTCTGGAATAGTTTGTGTAAGATTGATATTACTTCATTTTTAATTCACCAGTAAAACCATCTGAGCTTATAGGTCATGTTCTTACATTTTGTTATTATCTTTGAGTTTCAACAGTGTGAATGTAATGCGCCTAACTATAGTTTTTACTTGTATTTATTGAACTTGTGATTTCTTGTGCTTCTTGGATCTATAAGCTAAAATCCTTAACCAAATTTAAGGAATTTTAATCACTACTTCTTTAGATATCTTATCTCCCCTATTTTTTCTTTGCTCATCTCTAAGACTCCAACCGCATATTGGTTAACTTGGTTAAAATTGTCTGTAGGTCCCTGAATCTGTTCATTTTTAGAAGTCTTCTCTCTCTATGTTTAAAGTCAATTTATGCATAGACTTTGATCCTTCTTTGTCTGTCTATTCTGAGACATCATTTCAATTTTCAGTTCTGGATTCCTCAGTTTCCTGTCACACCTAGTCTACTGTGATTGAGGTTTTTTGCTCATATTTCAGGCACATTTTCTCTACGGACTGGGTAACACTTTTAGTAGAAAGACTATATAAACCTAGAACACCCTTCAGTGTCTGTATGCTTTTATTGCTGTCCAGAGAACTTCTAGTAGGTATTGGATGTTGTTTTTAACTTTTGTTCCTAGTTTAAAATAGTTTTCTGTGGGACAGCTAATATGATACAATTTACTCCACAATTATTTTAAGTGGAATTCTACCTCCTGTTTTATGAAGTTTACTTTATTTGTGATAGTTATGTTTATCAAATTAGAGACCCCAATGTCCTTAACTCAAAATAACTAGTCATTAGATCATAACAGTCCTATTTCAGGTCTTCACACAGCCACAGCTTTAGTTTTGATCTTCATTTAATTGGTTTTTCTTACCTCAGTCAGTTTTATTACTGCTTGAGGAATATTCTAAAACACTTTCCTTTTGCAGATACTCCTTTGTTTTAAGTCCTCTCTGCATTCCTCCAGGATTGCTCCATAAAGTCCTTCATAACTGAATCTATGTCCTGCTGTTGTTACATATAGAATCAGTATTGTATGGTAAACACTCTGCTTCTTGGGCACAGCAGAACTTCCTATGTTTTGTGTAAGTTTGCACTTTATTTCATCTGACTTTCCTGAATTTAGTCTGAAAATTCAATTCAAAAATATCACCTCGCCTGGAAAGTTCTTTTCTGAATAGGTTACTTCTGTCTCTATGTCTTTCTTTTGCTTTTTAGTACTATGTATGGGCCAGGAGTTTGGCTCTGTGGCACAAATGCCTGCCTGGCAAGCACAGGGTCATGAGTTTGACCTCCGCCCGCAAAAAAAAACTTCTCTAGTAATATGTATAAGTCTCCTCATTGACTTTATCAGTGCATCTGTCTATGTATCTATGTATCTACCTATATTTGTTAACTCTCATTTATAAAATTTCCTTTTTCTCAAGGATTCTAATCTTTTGGTTAAGGTATTGTACATTTCAGATATCTCTTTTTAGTGTCCATTGCATCTTGTGAGCATTGTATATCCTTTGTAGACTTTCTATGTATATATCTCTTGATGATGATGTTACAGATTATATTTCTTGGCAGTGATACTCAAAGTAATGAGTTTCTATATAGAAATTAAAAAGCCACAGAACTAAAATGAGAAAGTAATACTCCCACTTCCATAATATTCTATTGTTTATTTTTCTTTAGAAATAGATGATGCCACATCAGACACCTCTGTAGAATTCTGCAAGAATGGTGGAACCTGGGCAAATGGCAGGTGCACTTGTACAGAAGAGTGGAAAGGGCTGAGATGTACAATTGGTAAGTTTCTTAGGATAACACTGGGCAGGGGTTAAGTGGCCCTTGTATTAATTTAAATAAGAGTAGCAGCAAAATTTGGAGATATCAGTTGATAATTATAAAATAATGGTTATCATGTTTATGGCTTTAAGATGTGTTAATTAGTTCAAGCCAAGTTGAGTCTAGGGCTATTTACCTGCATAATAAAAAATCTTGTGTGATTTCCAACTATTGGGTTTCTTATAACTCACATTTCTGTTTCCTTCTGACTTCAGTGTCTAATTCAGGTTTCCTTAGGTTTTTTTTTTCAGGGATTGATATGTCTTATTACACTACTTAAATATCAACGTTTTATCATATATCACCTTTCTGAAATTGAAATGCATCTATCAAGTATTTATATATTTTCTCTTTTCTTATTTTCATTGAAGAGCTACTAAATGTGGTTTCTTTTCAAAAGGTAGTGTTTAATGACCAAGTTCAATATGATTTCTTTTTCTAAAGTGTGCTTCTCAGTACTCCTCATGCTTCCTGATGCCATCCAGAGTTCTCCAAACCCATTTTTATCACTGAGTATCTCCTCTCAACATGTATGCCCCAAATACCAAAGACTTTGTCCTTTTTGTTTTGACCTACATCCTCAAGATGTTCTCTGCTACTATAGGCTGTATATTTTTATTTGTATATGTTTGTAGTACATAATGACTACAATCATCGGAGGGAGCTCGTACATGTTCGTAAGACATCTTAATTATTTTTTATCACCTTCCCCTCCCATCTTTCTCCTATCCCTTCCCTCTATATTTTTAATTCTCAAGATTTTAACTAGTTTGACAGATAATCCTTATTGGTATGTTAGCGCTTACCTTCCAGTACTTATTATGCACTTTTAAACTGTAACTTGTCATCTAACATACTAAGATAAGAAAGTGCGGAAGTTCTTGGAAGGAAGGTGAGTTTTATAAATGCTTTATTTTTAATTATATTATGTAGATTCTGAACTTTAACTTTTATGTGGTTTCAAATTTGAAAAATATGCAACTTCTAATGAAAAAATATTTTTCTTTCCATTACAGCTAATTTCTGTGAAAATAGTACCTATAAGAATTTTACTTTTAATAGAATTCCAGTGGGCAGATATGGACCTTCTTTGGAAACATGTGACAAGAATACTTTAAATGGTATGTGTTTTTCAAAAATATCTCCTGCCCATAGGCTAAGAGTGGTTATGCTAAATCATAACTGTCACCCCCTCCAACTAACATTGGATCCCTGGAAAGAAGTATCAAAGAAAGTTTTGTGGAAAGGTCTGCATCCCTTTTATGACTTCACTGTTCAAAGTTTATTGGCGATACCTCATATAATTCTAAATTTTCTAAAACCTTAACATGGATCAATTGTTTGTGATTTCCTCTTGTCTTGTTTTTCCAGTTTACTCAGTCTCCTAGAATTTAAAAAGATTAACATTTGCTGTTTGATATATAATTTGTATTCTAGGTTATAGGCTCAAACCATCCATATCCACTTTCAGATTACATTTTTCCAGATAGATATGCTCAACTGAGTGTTTTTGTAACTAATAGCCCGCCATGATTTTAGTTATCCGTCTCAGAACATTCTTTAGCTTCATTGTATCTTTTGTGAACACAGCAACCTTACTTTACAAAGAGATGTTCCAAGAGTAAGAGAGCAAATAATTTTCTACCCATTCCTTGTTTGCACTGATTTTTCCCACAGAACTGGATACCTCAGGAATAGAGTTGGTCTAGATTATTTACAAAAACATTTGCTAAATCTCCTGTCATTACTGACTTTGAGAATTTACATTTTATTTAGATATTTTATTCTTTTAAACACTAACTAAATTACACGTTTTTCTTTCCTTTATGATTCTTTACCTTATTTATTCTAAGTGATTGTGTAGATCTGCATTCCAATTCCAGAATCCAAATTGTTTTTGCCCACATATATCATGATTATCCAAGTGGTATCCATTTTTCCAGCCTCTTGTTACGAGTTTAGAAAGTAAAAGTGAGGACTCAATTACATTGGCACTTTGTTATTATACATAATGTGTGCTTATGGATAAATATTACTTTAATTTTATGCTTTGTGTGTCTTAAATATTTCATAATGGTTTATGAAACAGACACAATTTATAAGTCATAGTTGTGTGCCATGATTAGGAGGAGAAAAACTACCAGTAGGTCCATGATTAATATATATTACTTTTGGGAGAGGGTTTTAACCATCTTTTATTTGGCTGTTTCATTTTCTGTCCTGAGTAATGATTAGGAAAATACATTATTACATTTGTCTTTGAATTTCAGATTGAGTCTATAATATTATTTCAATGATATACATTTCAACTGCTGACAGATTTGCTCTTAATTCTATAATAAGCATTGCTCCTAACTATGCAGTATTGTACAGCAAATAGTTACAACACTTTTCAATGATTTCTTTCTTCAATGCACAAAAAATATTTTGGTTATAATTACCCTCCACTCACTTCCCCTACTCCATCCTTCTGGGTCCCTTTATTCCCTTCTTCTTGTATACTAATAGTATCTCTTCTGATTTCATGTCACCTCATTTAGTTTCCACATATTAGGAAGAGATGTAATACTCATCTTTCTGAATCTGACTTATTTTGCGTAATGTGATGTTGTCTAGTTCCACTCATTTTCCTGAGTGGAACTGAACAACTAGACATAATTTCATTCATCTGTATGACAGAATACTACTCTGTTGTGTAGATGTACTACACTTTCTTTTTTTATTTATCTGTTGGTGGACCCTGAGGCTGGATCCATATGTTGGCTATTTTAATTGTGCTGTGATAAACATGGATATGAAGGTACCTTATAGAATATTAACTTTAATTCTTTGGCAGTATATCTGGATGAAGAATTAGCTCTATTTTCAGTTTCTTGAGGAAACTTCATACTGATTTTTCCTATTGACTCTATTATTTTGCATTCCCATTGCACTGTAGAAGAGTTCCTTTTCCCCCACATCCTGGACAGCATTGTTTTATGTATTCTTTTTTTTTTTTTTAATTTTATTTAAGGAGAAAAGAAAAAAAAAAGCAGGGAAAGGGTAGAAGTTATACAGATTTACAGAAAAAAATGAACAGTAGGAAATCACTAGTTAATGGATTACATATTGTCATCTTAGAAATAATTGTTCAAGTCACAAAATTAAAGCTTGTAAAGTGGACATTCCATCAATGATACTGCAAACAGTTCTGTTCATTGATCCAATAAAACTCTGTGATATCATTTTCTATCTTATACACTAAATATACCTGCAGTTATATAGTTTGGAGCACTTTCTTTTCCTCTCTTTTGTACCATGACTATTACACATTTTGGGTTTCATTGCTCCCACGGTTCTTATTACTTTTTTGGAAGAGAGTAAAACCAAATGTGACATAACAGAACAGAATCGGTCAAGTCAAAAGGGTGGACATAATAGATAATGTAAAAACATAATACAAGGTGATCAACAATGGTTACCATAATGCCTCCCGCTATCTCTAATAGAATTGCCTGTATCATTAGTTAAAATACAATTGAACAAAACAGTAAAGAATAAAACCGACAAAACCAAAACATTGGAGACATTGTAGGTCTTCAAAAGTAGATAAAAGTCAACAAGAATGGGCGTCATAATGAATCTCATTATCTTCACAGCTGATGCCTAAACTTTCGAACCTGATACTATCCAGCAAAACAGAATAGGGGAACATCAGTTAAAAACCAGATGGTGAGAGAAATACAGGGCTTTAAATCAAGGTAATGAAAAGTCAAAGTGGGTTACTATAATATATTCTGCTATTTTTTTTCCTTTAATTAAAAGGATAAAGATAAAAAAGTAAATAATGGAGTGGAGATTGAGATAAAAGAGGGCATAACAACGAAACAGCGCAGATCAAAACATAACCATTTAAGCAGAATAGTGTTTCACCACCAGATAATCCTAACCTAAAAGTAGTTACCATATTGTTTCTTTCTTTGAAATCCTTGAGTACAACTTCGTATACTGTAGCATTAAGTATATCAAAACAATGTAAAACCATTCGAGAGAATGACAGCATTACAGAGTATTTAGAATTGACTAACAAAATGAACAATGGTTTCTGTATAATCTCCTTGTCTTTAACAGGTTTTTGCTTATACTATCGTACATAATAAAATCCAATAAGATACAGCCTATTTAGACCATTGGAGACAGAAGGACAAAAGCTAGATGAGACTTCAAAACAAGATGATACTAAATCTGTATTACCTATTAAGATGTCATTTTCTCCAAAATAGCTGTTCCTATCATCCAATCTTCTCTGCCTCATTTCTGTTAAGCTCTTTTTCTGTCCGTAGCTGTCAGTTTGTCTTCTTCATTTTGTTCTCTGCTCCATTCGTTGTGGCCTCTCTGCCATTATTTCTGGATTCTTTGTATTTTTCTTTTTTTAGAATATCCTGCAATACTCTCTGTAGAGTTGAATTGGTGGTTGCAAATTCCCCCAGTTCCTCTTTATCCTGGAAGCACCTTGTTTTTCCATCAATTTCCAGGGACAGTTGTGCAGGATATCTCAATCTTGGATGGAGATTATTATCTTTCAATGCTTGAATTATTTCCCCCCATGCTCTTCGTGATTTGATGGTTTGTGCAGAGAAATCTGCTGTAATTCTGATGGGTGTTCCCTTGTAAGTGGTCTGTTTCTTGTCTCTTACAGCTTTTAATATTCTGTTCTTGTATTGAATTTCTGGAATTTTTATTATTATATGCCTGGGTGTTGCTCTGTTTGGGTTGTAGGTGGCTGGGGTCCTGTATGCTTCATACATCTGAGTATCTTTACCTTTTGCTAAATTAGGAAAATTCTCCTGGATTATTTCTGTGAGTAGCTTTTGTAGTTCACTTGTTTGTGTCCCTACTTCTTCTTTTATGTTCTTAATCCTTAAGTTATGGATCCTCTTATCATCTTCTTGTCTTTGTATTATTGCTGTTTGTTTCTTTGTTATTTTTAAGAAGTTTTTCATTTCATTCTCCCATATTACAAGTCTGCCCTCCAGTTCAGATAGTCTGTCCTTAGTTTCTTTCAAGCTGTTATGCCAGTCTTCTATAGACTTCTTAGTATCTTGGTAGTCCCTTTGAACCTGCTTCACGTATTCTATGCTTTCTCTGTTTTCTCCATCAAACAATTCTCCCCTTTTTTTCTGTTCTTCCATTCCACCACCTGTTTTTTGTCTATGGCCATACCACCCTGAACACGCCCGATCTCGTCTGTTTTATGTATTCTTAACAATAGCCATTTTAACTGGGGTAAGATAGAATCTCAATGTAGTTTTGGTTTGTATTTCTCTGACTAAAGATGTTGAACATTCTTTCTTATACCTATTGGCCATTTATAGTTCTTTAAAAATATGTCCATTAAATTCATTTTCCCACTTATCTATTGAGTTTTTTCATTTGGGGAAATTCAATTCTTCAAGTTTTCTTCTAGTTATTAATTCCTTATTGACAAAGTAGCTGGAAAAGATTTTTCTCCTATTATGTAGGATGTCTATTAACTCTCTTCACTTGTACTAAAAATAGTACAGAAACTTCTTCATAATTATTAGAACATGTAGGGCCAAGAATTAGCCCAGTTGTGTAAGTGCCTGTCTGGCAAGCACAAGGTCCTGAGTTCAATTTCCAGTACCAAAAAGGATGCTATTTACCTTATAAGGGATAGGGAGTTAGTTAGTGGCATAAGCACCTGTCTGGCAAGCGTGAGGTTGTGAGTTCTATCTCTGGTACAAAAAAAAAAAAAAAAAAAAAAAAAAAAAGGAAAATAGAACACGTTTGCAGTACATAATTATTACATTTATTGTGGGGAGTTTTACATAATACATTTAAATTCTTTTTTGCCCCCTACTCCTTAAATTCGTCCTTACTTCTTTCAACTCTCGGTCCCTAACCAGTTGCCAAAGCTTTATTTTCATTTTCCCTTCAATTTTCTTTCCATCTTATTTCCTCTCTCCCCACTCTCTCCATCTTTTGCTCCACTTCCCATTTGAAAAAAAAGATTTCCTACTCCCTATTATCTATAGTTTATTTTACTCTTCATTTATATTTGAGTTTCTCTACGCAATATTTAAGCTTATGTGTCCAGTTTATTTTACTATATTATGGTCTCAAGGTGCATCCATTTACCTACAAATGACTCAGGTTTAGAGTTCATTATGTCAGAGCAGTACTCCATTGTATGTAAATACAGCATTTTATTTATCCACTATACAGAATCTCTTAAATTTGATGTAGTACTATTTGTTGAGCATTGCTATGATTGTACTATTGGAACCATATTCAGAAAGTCTGTGTTTGGACCTATGGCTTTAGGTGTTTCCTCTATGTTCTTTTCTAGCAGTTTCAAAGTTTCAAGTAGTTTGGTAGTTTCAAGATCTAGGTAGATCTTTGATCCATTTTTAATACATCATAGTAAGGAGCAGAAATATGGATCCAGTTTCAGTCTTTTATATGTAGAAATTTAGTTTTCTCAACAATATTTGTTAAAGGGGCAGTCTTCTCTGATATATATATATTTTACTCCTTTGTGCAGTTTCAGATAGTTGTGGTTGTATGGGTTTTGGTTCTTTTTTTCCCTGTATCCATTCTAGTCCATTAGCCTACATGTCTATTTTGTGACAGTACCACCATGCTGTCTTGTTACTATGGCTTTATTGCATAATTTAAGAGCATGCATTTTGATACTTCCAGTCTTGCTCTTTTTTGCTTAGAATTTTTTGGGTCTTCTGGGTCTTTTTGTATTTCTGTATGAATTCTAGGATTGTTTTTTCTAATTGTGTGAAGAATGTCATTGATATTTAGGTGGAGATTGCATTGAAACTATGGATTGTTTTTGGGAATATGGCCATTTTAGCAATATGAACTCTGCAATTCATGAAAATGGGAGATCTTTCCAACTGTGGTGTTCTTTCAAGCTTTTCCTCAGTGCTCTGAAATGTTCACTGTAGAGGTCTTTCATTTTCTTACCTAGATTCATCCCCATGTATTTTTTAAAGCTATTGTGAATAGTTGTCTTCCTGACTTCTTTCCTAGCTTGTGCATTATTGGTGCATAGAAATTACTTTGTAAGTTTTGATGTTACATTCTGCTACTTTGCTTGACTCATCCATTCTAAAAACCTGTTAGACCTTTTAGGGTTTTCTAAGTATCGAATCATAGCGTCTGCAAATAATAATTTAACTTTTTTTGTTTTTCATTTGCAACCCTTTTATTGTTTTCTCTTGCTTAATTGACATTGCTAAAATTTCAAGTATAATATTGAGTAGATGAAATGAAACTGGACATCCTTCCAACCTTCCTAATTTTAGAGGAAATGATTTTCATTTCCTACAATTCAAAGTGATGGTGGCTGTAGGTTTTTGGTATATACCCTTTACTATACTGAGGTATGGTCTTTTAATACCTAGTTGTTTTTTCATGTATTTTATCATTAAGGGATGTCAAATTTTGTTGAAGGCATTTTCTGCATCAATTAAGATGATCGTGTGTCTTTTTTCCTTGCTTCTATTTATCTGGTGTGCTACATTTATTTATTTGTATATGTTGGACCATTATTGAATCACAAAATGAAACCAACTTGATCATGGTACGAGATCCTTTTCATGTGTTGCTGAATTTGGTATGTATTTTATTACAAATTTTTGCATGTACTCATTTTTTCCCTTTCTATTCCATGAAATAGTTGGAGGAGCATTAATATTAGATCTTATCTAAAGTACCAGTGGAAATTAACAATGAGTTCATCTGGTACTTGTCTTTTCTTTGTTGAGGAACTTTTTTTATAATTGCTCTAGTTTCATTGATTGTTATTCTATATTTATATTCTCTTGGTTTAATTGTGGTAAGTCAAATATCTAGTAATGTATCTACTTCTAGATCCTCCAATTTACCAGAATGCAGGTTTTAAAAATAGTCCCTAACTATCTTTTGGATTTTAGTGGTGTCTGTCGTAACATGTCACTTTTTATTTCTAATTGTATTGATTTGGGTTTTCACTTTCTTTTGCTTAGTTTGGCTACAGGTTTATCAATCTTATTTATCCTTCCAACAAACTAATTCTGTTGCATCAGTCTTGTATACTATTCTCCTAATATCTGTCTCATTAATTTCAGTTATAGTTAATACATTTTAGCTCCTGTAAGATCGAGATGCATCATTAAGTTATATAAGATCTTGCTGATTTTTAAAATGTAGACACTTACAGCTATAAACTTGCCTCCCAGAACTGCCTTTTCTGTATTCTAGAGATTCTGGTATGTTTATTTTTATTTTCTTTTGATTCTAGGAATTTATTTGCCTCTCAATATCTTTAGTGACCCACTGATCACTGAAAGTGAATTGTCCAATCACCATTTGTTTAAGTATTTTCCATAGTTGCTCTTACTAGTTTCTAATTTCATTACTAAATTATGGCTGAATAATGTGCAAGAAGTTATCTTTTTTAGTCATTAAGACTTGCTTGAAGGACCAAAATATAATCTAATTTAGAGAACATTCCATTAGATGCTGACAAGTGTGTATATTCTGTAGTTGTTGGCTCTGTTAAATCCATTTGATAAGCTGTATATTTTAATTAACTTGTTTGTTTTGCTATTTATTAGTGAGAGTGTAGCATTAAAGTTACCCACTGTTATTATTGTGGAACCTATATATTCCTTTATGTCTATTAGTGTTTGTTTTATAAAATCAGGTACAGCTACTTTTGGTGTATATATATATTTAAAATTGTTACATATTCTTTCTATTGATTTTTGAGTATTTTATAACTGCCAATAATATTGAGGAAAATATGCATTTGATATATGGCCACTTAAAATTTATTTACATCATATATGACTTCAACCTTCTACCTGCAGTGTTTGCTATTTCCTGAAAAGATGTCTTTGTGGGAAATTTGTTGAAATGTTATTGAAGCAGTCTACAATTTCAATTGTTCTGGTTGTTGCCCCAAGAAGCAGCTGCTCAAATCTGATTTTAAGGAAAAAGTCACCATCTATCCATTTTCTCCTGTAATTATGATTTTATTTATAGCAGCTACTTAAATATTAGCTAAACAGTGAGGTAGCAAGGTTCAGGTAATAATCTTAGGACACAAACTAAAAGATTAAAGAAACATTTGCTGAGAATCAATGAAATATCTGATAAGTTCTGAAAGGCAGTAGAACTCTGACTTTCAAGAGTTGATTCTTCTTTTTTCCCCATTCCCCTCTGCTCCTTTCTACCCTTCTTTGTCATTTTATTGACAAAAACTCAAAGTCATTTTTTGTCACTAACTTTTGAAAAGTAAATCTACCTTAAAGAAACCATTTCAGGAAATAGCAAACTAATAATTTAAGTTCTAGATTTAACCATCAAGACAAGCAGTATCTGTCTGACATACTATTGCAGTGATGTATTCACTTTTCCATTGCTGTGATTTAAACTATCCCGAACTTACTGATTTAAAATAGCCATGATTTAGATTCTTCATGGTTCTTTAGATTTTCTGTGACAGGTACACCCTGGTGGAAGGTCCAGAATAACCTCACTCACATGTGCAGGGCGTGAATGCTGAGTTTTGGCTGCAGCACCTCAATTCTTCTCCACACGACCTCTCTTAAAGTAGGTTATACTTAACAGTAACTGTTCCTTACTTAACAGTCTCAGAACAGCATACTTCAAGCTTCTTTGATCTTGTGCTCTGGAAATAACACATGTGTACCAAATTCTGTTGGCCAAAACAAGTTAGAGGCCAGTCTTATTCAGAAAGTGGGAGAATAATCCTCCAACCAATGGGAGGAACAGCAGAACCACATTAGGATACACGATGGGGACAGATTCTGTAGTTATGGTGATCATCCTTGCAGACCATGTCTATTTTTTTTTATTAAAGCTGGAAATCCAATAGCAATCAGGCTGTGCAATCTCTCTCTCTACGGAGAGATGCAACTAGAAAATGCGACAATAGGAAATTGCAATCAAAATCTGGCAACCCTGGAACAGCAGGTATGTCATGTGACTCATCTGATGGGTTGCTGGAAAAAATTATGTCTCTCAACAAAATCTTCAGATACTTGACAAATTATTCAGATACATGGTAAATACTAATAAATTTTTCAGATCCCTGAATGCTCTTAAAAGTATCAAATCAGAAATTAGAAAACTAGTAAGTAAAACCACGTTAGTTGCTTAAAATCTGTTTGTAAAAAAGGACAATTAAATATGTTGGTTCAGCAAATTTCAGCAAATGATAATCGATAGCACATTTTTAAATCACTTTATCTTTGTAGACTAGTGAAGTTTTGATTGAAATAGATCCCTGATATTTGAAGAAAGGCATTTGATGGTCCATTGGATCAAAATGAATAGGAAAATAACTGACCAAAAACCTTTTGAGCTAGGAAATTCCTAAACTTATACTAGTCCCAGACTGCAATCATGGACCAGTGAAATAAATCTGACTAGTTTTTTTCACGAATATTGCATTATTTGGAATAAAGATGAAGGCAACTGCACACAAATATAAGAGCAACTCCAAGGCCGAGCAAAGGAAGAAAGAGGAAATGCACCTTGATGTAGGACTTACGTTTTAGGCATGTTACATATATTTCATTTTATTTTTATTGTTTTTTTTTTTTTGAGGCAGTCTCACTAAGTTTGAGTTGATCTTGTACTCACTAGGTAGCCAAGGCTGGACTCAAGCTCATGGCTATTCTCCTGCCTCAGGGTCCTAAGTCCTGTGATTGCAGGTGTACACCATTCTGATTGGTCTCATTCAACTCTATCAAGCTTTTTGTGAGTTGGTTATTATTACCACATTACAGGTAATAACGCTCGTTAGTTGATGAGGATTCACTGAGACCCAAATATATGTGCTTCTGATTTTATAATAGGGTCATAACACAATGAACTCACTCTAAAATGAAAATATTTTAAATTGAAAGTGCACTTAATTTAGCATCATGGTTTACCAACACAGCATACTATAGTGTTAAAAATATTTTATCCTTTCTACTGTGTGACTGACTCAGAACTGTGATTTGCTGTTGTTGCCTAGCATCACAAGAGAGCAAAACATAGCATAACGCTAGCCCGAGAAAATATCTAAATTCAAAACTTAGTGTATGCCTGCAGAGTAAATATTGACTTCATACCATTTGTAATGTCAATAACTTAAAATGAACCATGTAAGTTATGGAGTGCTTGTACTGAGCCAAATAATTTTTAAAAATCATAATTACTACAACACTATAGATAAGTATTGGTATACCTATTTTATAGATGAGGAAAATATGGCTCAGAGAGGTGAAATGTTTTGTCCAGTAAGGACATCCCAAAAGGTGATGGAGACAGTCTTTATTTTAAAATCCACACTGTACTGCACTGACAAAGATGGATGAGAGTAGGATAGGGAAGGGAATAGAGATGTGCAGGTAGTGACCAATCATGTCACAGATTTGGAAAAAGAATGACAATTCTGAATATAGCAGGGACTAGCTACTGACTGAAATAGTTGTTTTTGTCTACTAATTGAATATTGTTTCTGATTCTTCTGTGACATTGATTTGAATTTTTAAATGATGCTGCTGTCTAGTGAAAAATTTAACCTCTACACTAATACCCACTAGTGTCTCGTGCATACTAGCATATTTTGAACTCATAACACAGTGTCTCAGAGCGAATTGGTATCTGGAAAGGTTGTCCCCAAACTTTCTGTGATGGAAAACTATGTTTAGAAAAGTTTCAACCTATTGCAGACCAGTAATTTTGTAAAATATAATGAAATAAAAGATGCAGAAAAGGTATTTTACAATTTTATAATTACTTATTAATGGTTTTATTATCAGCAGCATAAAATTGCTAAATAAGTTTCTGATCACTTGCTATCACAGTCTGTGCTTATCTCCCTATGGATTTTGTAACAGTCAATGAATAAGCACTAGTCTTTGTTCCTACTTTGTGTAGCTCTGATATTGCTAAGGCAGCTCAGTTTAGTTAATTAGTCCAGGAGGACAGTAAAGGCTGAGAAAACCACTGGCCTTCATGTACTATGTCCTTTACACAAGGAGAAAAAAATCAAACATGAAAAACTTGGTGGATGTTATGTTCGAGAGGTTAAGGCTCAAATAAATTTAAGCTTATATATCTGTACTTGCTCGCAAATTACTGAGACATAATTTTACAATACTAGAATTGTCTTTTACTTTTTAAACAGATAGACAATATTGCAATAGACTCTAAGAATATTTCTACTGAAGCCCAGATTTTAACATCTGATGCCAGTAAGTTAACTCCTGAGAATATCATTTCTGCTACTAACGTAGTTGGACAGATCTTCAATGAATCCAGAAATGCTGATGCAGAGGTAAAATTCAAGACTCTAAAATGCTTAAGAGATACAAAGTCACAGTCAAGTTCTTTTCTCTTACGCTTTTTTTAATGGCTTAGATTGCTTAAGATTCTTTTTTGAAGAAGATTCTTTCCAAGAGATAATCAAAGTTAAGAACAAGATCTCCTTGTCCAAGTACTCTTTGGGAATTCACAGTGATCATTATTATGTTACATCTTATGGACAGTCCTGAAATGAAGAATTTTCTCATTTTATTAACATTTATGCTGCCTGTATTTGATCTCCATAACCCTATTCAATTTCAAGTAAATAGCACTTCAAAGAACTCACTGTAGAACAAGCTACTTAAAACTGTGATTCTGCTGTGTTAAGCTTATTTGAATTTTGGTCCTGATTTTCTGGAAACATTAAGTCTAGTTTATGTTATATCATAGGCCAAGCAGGGCTGTACCCTATCAACACATAATAGCCCTGTGTAGGACCACTGAATATTAGCATATTTCCTTCTATTTCTTTCAAACATCTTATTATAAAAAGTTCTATATTATCATAGGGTCTTTGAAAAGCAGGTAGAATTGAAGTCACAAGTCAATAAAAATGGAATTTAAAGAAAAGGATATTGACTACCCAATGTAGAATTTATAGCAAGGTTAACCAGTAAAGACAGACAATTAAATAATAATCAAATGCCAAGAAATCATTTCTATGACTCAATTCTAAGTTTGTGCAAAGAAACACAAATAATTTTACTAAATTAAATAGCTCTATAACAAATGAGTTATTTTGAGTATTATTTAACTATCAGAGCCCAGAATTGTCCTTATTTTGTTTCTGCATTTGTATTTAAGAATTTGCTTTTGTGTTCTTAGGGGTGGGATGGAGTTCTGTGAAATAATTTGTAACAAGGTCAAATTTGAGTCTTAAGCCTCCTAATTTGTTACTTTAATTTTTATTTTTACTTTTCCTTGTCTTGATTCTCTTTTGTCTTCTTTGATAAGTCAAAATTTAAAACTTAGTTTTGCAAAATCTTTACTTCTGGATTATCACGCCAATGAAGTATTTTGCTACTATAGTAATTCAAGTTGATGGTGATGATAATGTATGGTGTATGTTTTTTGTGACTTCTCCTTGGCAGGCGAAAAAAACTGCTGTAACAACATTGAGCCAACTTCTGGATGCCAGTGAAAATGTTTTTCAAACAGCTGCTGCTACTAATAACAGTGACACTTTTGCAATGTAAGTACAATTTTAATTTGGAAAGAAAATTTGACAAAGTCCTTTTTACTATTTTAGGTTAAAACATTAACAGAAGTAAGTGTCTATTTCCATCACAAATACAGTAACTGAATGACTCCTCTGGAATTCTGACAGAATACTTAGCTTTCCTCTTGATCTTATTACTATAGAGAATGCTATATGTTACCTTCCGGTCCCAGGGGTGCCCGTGGCTGAAAAAAGAGACAAACAATAAATGAGATGATTTAGTTTATAACTTATTTTCTTTAGCCTTAGTTAGGTATGACCAATGGACAACCATGCACAGCAGGAACTCCTTCAATTCTGTTCTCAATACCCAGAACTTGAGAGAACAGTCACCTTTTGAGGATACACTGCCAGCCCACAGTCTTACCTCAGCTCTCTTCCCAAAACTCTGATATATTTCAATGAAGCCTTCTCTCGACTTCTCAAGGATACATGGAAAATCAAAATTAATACAATTCAGATTTTCTTTTCTTTTCTTTTTTCTTTTTGTCTTTTTTGAGATGGGGTCTCGCTATGCAGTTCAGGCTGGCCTAGAGCTCACTTTGTAGCCCAGGCTAGTCTTGAACTCCCAATGATCCTCCCACCTCAGCCTCCCAAGTGCTGGGATACAGGTGTGAGCCACCTCGCCCAGATAAATTCAGATTTTTCTCTTCTTGACTCCTATGTTCTAGATTACTTGGTTACATATTTATACTAAAACTCACGTAGGTTGTTTGCAGGGGGAAGAGGGAAGGAGAGCTAATTTAGATTTACTGTATTTTATAATGTTTTGTGCATTATATAATCAATGTGGCAAAACAAGAAAATACATTGGTGAGCAAATTTTTAAAACTTATCTCCTTTGTTCACCTGTAGTATATATATTCCTGATATTCTCCACTACCCTCTCTTTATATATGCATATATATATAATTTTATACTATACTGATTTATAACTACCATTTGCACATAAATATTTGTAAAATCTTTGTAAATATCTATACATATAACTCTTAATTTTAGATTACTACATTATATGAATAAGCTACCTAACAATGAACATTTAGATTGTTTCAAGCCTTTTAATGTTATAAATATCAACATTCTCGTTAGTAATCATTGTGTGTATATCTGCTATTTCCTTAGGAGAAACTCAAGTTCATATTTTTTCAGTTCTGTAAGGATTACATCCCATATCTCTTCAGTGTTGAGCCCTTGGAGTAAAAAAATCATGAAATAGAACATTTAGAATATTATAATTCTGACATATGGTATTAGAATTTATATAGTTTCATCAATATATTTCATGGAAGCTATCTGGATTTTTTGTGAGGTGGGATCTCACTGTGTAGTTTAGACTAGCATTGAACTCACTATAAAGAGCGGTCTTGTTCTCAAACCCACAACAATCCTCCAGCCTCAGCCTCTCAAGTGTTGAGATTACAGGTGTGTACCACCACACCTGGCTCTGGGTCATTTTCAATGTAGAAAAAACTGCATCTGTACTGAATAGGTACAGATTTTATTTTTGTATTCAATTCAGATTTATTATTTCCTTAAAAATATACTTTAATAACTGTTTACATAAAATTTTCATTGAATTAGGTTCTATAAGCAATTTAGAGATGATTTAAAGTGGGACAATGCAGCACAATCCATCGGGGGAACATGCAGCCAGAATCAAAAGTCACAGGGATACTAATCTCTACCAGCTCAGTGCCCCAGGGGCATCCATCAGGGAGTAACCAGCCTAGCCAATGGGTCCTGAAGATTTTGAGCTCTTTCTATTACAGCACAAGGCTCCAGTGCCACAGTTCACAGGTGCATCCCAACTAGCAACATGGATGTCAGAGATGTAAGGTACAGTGTTCTAGTGCAATCCATTGGGAGGGTACTTGTTCAGCCACACAGGTTCCGGAGGAAAATGACCAAACAAAAGACCAAGATGTAGTCTCAGTACTCCAGCCCACTGAGGACAAACCCAGGAGACATAGAAATAGAAGACACTGGAAACTGCACAAATGAACTCTCTGAAATGATAGCAACAAGTAAAAACAACTCCATGAAGCTATAGAAGAGATCAGATCAGAAATAATCTCCCAGATAAAAAAATAAATGACAAATTTATGAAAGAAATGTTGACTCTATCTAAAGAAGATCATGACAAGGAAATAGAGGAACATAAGAAAATTATGGAGGGGATTTATCTCAGTGGCGTTAAATGCCTGCCTGGCAAGCACGAGGTTTTGAGTTCAATCCCTGGTACCAAAAAAGAAAATTATAGAAACCTTGAATGAACATAATAAAACAACTAGAACGCATGAAACCAATTCAAAGGTATATTCAGGAAATTAAAAATTTCCCTGGCACCTGGCAAAACACCTTGAAAGATGCTGAGGATAGACTCAGATCTTCCATCTTGAAGGATGGAAGCCTATGATTGTGAAAGAAAATATCTCTTAAAAATAACAAGGAACCAGGAAAGAATTCAACAGATGCAAGATGTTGCAAAAAGAAACGATGTAAGACTGATAGCTGTCAACAAAAAAGCAGTGGTCAACACAAATAAAATAAAAAGACTATTTATAGAAAAAAATAGCAGAAACTTTTCCAAACATCAAGAATTGTAGTTCTATACGCTTAACTTATATGTATATCAGAATATATACATATAAGTTAAGCGTATAGAACTACAATTAGCCATAAAAAATAAATCTTCACCCAGATATATAGTAATTAGGATCTCAGATTTTGGCACAAGAATAAAATACTAGAAGCTACCAAAGAAAGAAAACAGACCACCCATGAAGGAAAACCTATCAGAATCATAGGAGACTTCTCAACAGAATACTTCAAGTCAAGAAGAGCTTGGAGTGTAGTATTTCAGCTCCTGAAAGAAAACAACTTCCAATCCAGGTTGATGTACCCTGCAAAACTATCTTTGAAAGTTGGTGAAGAAATAAGATACTTTCATGACAATGAAAAACTGAAGCAATTCATGACCACTAAACCAACGCTACAAAGAGTATTGAAAGACACTGTAGAAAGAGAAAAGATAATTACAATCCCAAGAACAACAGCAGAAGGAAACAACTAAGCAAGGAAAACAATTAAATGGAAAAAGTAGAAAACTAACAACAGAAAGATAACAAGATGAGGATAAGTTAGTAAACATCAGTTGTATCCATCAATGTAAATGGTCTCAACTCACCAGTAAAAAGAAACAGACTGGCAGAGTGAAATAAGAAACAAAAATCAAAGATATGCTATGTAGAAGAAATACATTTAACTCAAAAGGAAACTGATACACTAAAAGTCCATACATGCGAAACAATACTCTATGTGGCAGGAATCCAGAAAAAAGCAGGCAATGTGAACTTCAAACCAAGAATGATCAAAAGAGATAAAGGATGGCACTACATATTTGTTTGGGGAAAATTTAAACAGGATGAGATAATAATCAGAAATATATATGCATCAAATATGGGTGCACTGAACTATGTAAGACAAATCTTAATAGACCTGAAAAATCAAATAAGCAAAAATATGGTTATAACAGAGGACCTTAACATCCTATTGTTACAGAGACAGATCAACCAAACAAAAAATCAGCAAAGAAATAACAGAACTGAATCAAACTTGTGAACAAGTGAACCTAGTAGATGTGTATCAGGTGATCAACCCAACAACATCAGAATACATATTCTCCTCAGATGCAAATCAGTCATTCTCTAAAAAGACCATATACTAGCCTACATAAAACCCTTAAGTACAAAGGAATTGAAATAATCCCATGTATTTTATCAGACCATAGCAAAATAAAATTTGAAATTAATGACAAAAAAGCCACAAGAACATCATAAACACATGGAAATTAAATAACACTCTCCTTAAGAAGAAATTAAACAACATCTACAATTGATCAAATACAACTTACTGGAACTTACAGGACACAATGAAAGCAGTCCTCACAGGGAAATTTATAGCAATAAACTCCCACATCAGGAAAGTGGAATAAATACAAATAAACAACCTAATACTGCACCTGAAACTTCTAGAAAAAGAAGAGCAAATCAAGCAAGAAGCTGAAACAAGGGAAGAAATTAAAAGATCAAAGCAGAAATCAGAGCAACTGAAATTAAGAAAACAATACAAAGAATTAATGAGTTGAGTTGATTCTTTGAAAGAATAAATAAAATTGATAAACCCCTAACCAACCTTATATAAAAAAAGAGGAAAGAAAGGTCAAATCCACATAATAAGAAATGAAAAGGGTGAAATCACTTAAGACTCTGTGGAAATATAGAAGATCATCAAAACCTACTTCAAAAACCTTTATTCTCAGGTTCGATAGCACAGAAGTGGATAGATTCCTAAAAACATATTAATTACCAAATCTGTATCAAGAAGATGTAAAAAGGTTGAATAATCCAATTTCAGTTCATGAAATTGAAAATATAATTAGAATCTTATCAGCAAAGAAAGCCCAGGTCCTGATGGGTTCACTGCTGAATTCTACAAGAAATTTAGGTAAGACTTAATGCCAACACTCTTCAAACTCTTCAATGAAACTAAAAGGGAAGTAATTCTCTATAATTCATTTCTGGAAGCAAGTATTAACCTAACATCAAAATCAGAGAAATACCTAGTCAAAAAAGGGAATTACAGGCCAATATCTTTAATGAATAGAATTGCAAAAATACTAAATAAAATACTGGAAAATAGAATGCAACAAATCATTAGGGAGATTATACACTATGATCAAGTGGGATTCATTCTTGGAATGCAGGGACAGTTCAACATATACAAATCAATAAATGTATCATATTAACAGAGCCAAAGATAAGAATCACATGATCATCTCAACAGATGCAAAAAAAAAACCCTTTTACTAAAATCCAGCACTCATTCATGATTAAAAAGTACAGAAAATCAGAATAGCTGGTATTTACTTCAATCTGATAAAAGCCACATATGATAAACCAACATCCAAC